CATTTTTAATGCAGTTCCAACTAGGAAAGCTTTACTTGGTATGGGAGCCACACTGATTTTATGTAAATTGTTTATTTCTCAATGCCCTTTTACTTTTCATTCAGTTTCATTATCTCCAAACTCCTTTGCCTGCTTGTGTTTGCTTCTGTCTTCTCCTAAACATAAAATGACTAATGGTAAGTCTTCTACTCATTCTTGTGAACAAGGCATTTGCCACAATTGCATCTTAAAGAAACATTAACAGCTGTTTTTAACTGGCCTGTTTTTCAGTGGTGGACTAGTGCCTAAGGCATTTGACTGCTAACCAGAAGGCCGGTGGTTCAAATCCACCAGCTGCTCCTCGGAAGGAAGGTTGGACAATCTACTTTCATAGTGAGACTGCCTCAGAAACCCAAGGAGGGGTCACTATAAGTTGGATCTGACATGATGGCAGTGAATTTTTTTTTGTGTGTAAAGGCAACTGAATGATTCACCAAATTGTCATGGTCGGGAATTTTCTATAGTATGACTTACTTGCTCTCATAGAGCTAATGTGAATAATTTTTTTTTTCTTTTACTACAAATTAGAAGCTATGGAAAAGAGATAAAGAGCTTTCTCTGGTTACATCTCTTCTGAATTCTTGGTTTAGTGAGATACACACACAGATTGAATGTCAGCTAAACTGGGTTGCTGAAGTCTACCTCCTGTTTTTCAGAACTTGCCTTTTCAGAGTCCCTGCTTTCAGGTAGGAATTAGGTAAGAGGAGGGTGCAGAGGTTTCCAACAGCTAAGGGAGACAAACTTGTCTGTCAGTTTGTCATCCTGTGAAGATAGTACATTGCTGTGAGGCTTGAGGCTGTGCCACTGGTGTTTCAGAGTTGCACATGGTGCACAGGTTTCAATGCAGTTTACAGACTAAGACAGACTAGGAAGAAGGAGGAGGTCATCCACTTGGCCATCCAATTGGCCAGTGAAAACCTTATGAATAGAAGAGAAACATTGTCTGATACATTACTGGGCAACTTTATGAATAGCTTGGAAACATTGTCCTTGGTGATGGACTCAAGTGTAGCAAGAATGGTGGAGTTGACTCAGGACGGGTGGTGTTTCGTTCTGCTGTGCATAGGGTCGCTATGAGTCGGAGATGATTCAATGGCACTTAACAACAACAAGCTTCTGAGAAAAGCTGCATTTGGCCCAGCCTTCTAAAAGCTAGTTGCCAGATGGACGAGAGAGAGTTATAGAAAAATGACACGAGGATCATAACAACTTAAATACTTTTTAACTGTGAAAATCCTTCTGGCCACAATTTTTCCTTGAGATAAGAATAATGTGTGTAAGAGATAGGTCAGCTAAGACAGGTGAAATCTTAAATGTGTGTTTTCTAGAGACATAGAAGTAATTTACAGTATAAAAATTTAATGTTCAATCACTGTTCCTCCCCCCCCCCTTTTTTTGGCAGTTCAGTCTTGCTAAATCTATAATCATCAGTTATGCAGTTAACTGAAGGCCTCAAGATTCTGACTGACTTTTAAACTTAGACTTCTTCTGTCTGCATCAGCGCTATGAACACATGGGAAGGATCCACACAGTCATTTGAATTGTACTAGTAGCTCTGGTAGCGTAGTGCCTAAGACACTTGACTGCTAACCAGAAGGCTGGCGGTTCAAACCCACCAGCCACTCCTCGGAAGGAAGGTTGGGCATTCCTACTTCCGTAGTGATACTGCCTCGGAAAGCCAAGGAGGGGTTGCTATGAGTTGGGGCTGACTCAATGGCAAATAACAACAACAACAACAAGTAGCTGTGAAGCTGCTCTTTTCAGGTTGTAGTTGGGTAGCATGAAGGATTTCTGACACATTTTATACTTTGAGCATGGTCTAAAGTCTGGTTTCTCTCCTTTGTTCATCAAACTTCTAAGAAGTTTGTTTACCAAGTTTCCTTGAAAGACATCTAGTTAGTCCAAAAGAATTTTACAGTTTTGAATTATGGACTGTCAGATTTTGAAGAGACTATAGAGATAATCTCTTCCAACCACTTAGCTGGTTCCTAAGGGTCTCCTCGGGAGCTCTGGTAGCATAGTGCCTAAGGCAGTTGACTGCTAACCAGAAGGCTGGCGGTTCAAACCCACCAATCGCTCCTCAGAAGGAAGGTTGAGCAATCTACTTCCGCAGTGATATCGCCTCGGCAATCCAGGGAGGGGCGCTATGAGTTGGGTCCGACTCAATGGCACATAACAACAACAACAGCAACAAGGGTCTCCTCTGCACATTCCCAGGGAATGGTTATACACATCCTATGCTTGAATTCTTTCAGACCCCTCATTTCCCTTTATATTGATGTAAAATGTTAGCTTGTATTGTCCATTTATTGACTGTATTTCCTTGAGACAAAATATATACAAAATAATCCAATTCATGATGGACCTTCATATATTTGAAAATAATTGCCTTCTTGTATTTTTTTCCCCAGGTAAAACTGTGCAACTTTCTGGTTACTTTAAATGATTTAAGTCCCTCCTCCCCTCCCCTTTACCATTGTTGTTGGTCTTTCTCTTCTGAAGGCACCCTAGTTTTTCTATATCCCTGACAGAACTGAATATTCAGGGCATTGGCTAACCAGCATAGAATATTGTTGTTGTTATTTGCCTTCGAGTCGGACCTGACCCATAGTGACCCCTCCTTGGGTTTCTGAGGCAGGCAGGCAGGCAGTATCACTACAGAAATAGATTGCCCCATCTTCCAAGCATAGAATAGAGCAGGATAAAAATCAAATCCCTAAAAACTATACTTTTAAGGCATTAATTTTTCATAAGGTACATCTATCTTATAGCTAACTTATGCTCCTGTATTCTGCCTGTTTAACTTTCTCCTATTTATCACCTTTTGAAAAGTGCTCTTTGTAAGTTCATCAGTCATTTCCAAATACCAACTACACTGGTCCCTCTAGGTCCTTACTCTCCTTGAAGTCTCAACTATCCTTTAACCATCCTTTCTTCTGGAAACTTCCATCTTCCTTAATTATCAGAGTATTACATTGTCCAGGTTTTCCTCCTATCTTCTCATCCATTAGTTAACTTTCTTCTTCAACTCATTACATGTAAAAAACTCAGGTCTTGGACCTCTGCTCTTCCTAGTTCTGTACTTTCTTCTTGGGGGAGCTTATTTACTCTTAGAGTTTCAATCGTTACCTCTACTAGTTGTTGCTGTTGTTAGGTGCCATTGAGTTGTCGCTGACTCATCGCAACCCTATTCACAGTCAGACGAAACACTGAACGGTCCCATGATAGCCTACCTCTACTAGATTTTCCTCAAATTACAAGTGTGATTGTTTAACAATTTGCTATTCCCTCCATGTCCCACAAACCAGATTCCTAGTTTGTTACTGATTTTTTGTCACCCAGTTTCGAAAGTTGTAGAGTCATAGCTTGTTTTGTTCTTTTCTTTTCCTTAATCATATGTAGCCAGTCTTCATGAAATATTAATTCTTCCTGGAAAATTTCTCTCATATGACATATCTCTCCATTTCCATCCCATTAAGTACTGTTCTAACTGCCTGAGTTCATACCTATGATCTTTCTCCTTTTCAATCTGTTTTCTACAATCACAAGATTAATATTTTTTCTTATAATTAAAATTATTCACTTCATACTTCATTTTCTTCCTTAAGCATTCCAGAAGGCTTCTAAAAAAAAAAAAAAAACACACCACCCAAACCCACTGCCATTGAGGCAATTCTGACTCATAGTGATCCCCATTGCATTCTCAAGATTGTAATCTTTATGGAAGCAGATTGCTTCATCTTCCTCTTGCGGGACAGCTGGTAGGTTTAAACTGCTGACCTTCTGGTTAGCAACCAAATTCCTTACTTCTGGTTGCCTCAAAAGTAAAGTAGAAATTCCTAGTTTGTTTTTTAAACTCCTTCAGAATCTTTTAACCCCATTTTCTAAAATTATATCTCCTAATGGAGACTCTGCAGGAGCTCTGGTAGCATAGTGGCTAAGGCACTTGACTGCTAACCAGAAGGCTGGGGGTTCAAACCCACCAGCCACTCCTTGGAAGGAAGGTTGGGCAATCTACTTCCTTAGTGATACTGCCTCGGAAACCCAAGGAAGGGTCGCTGTGAGTCAGATCTGACTCGACAGCAGTGGTTTGAATGCCTCCCATGAACCTTTTGCTGCAACAAAATTGCCTACTTTCCCTAGAACATGATATGGCAGTGTTTAAGCCCTTTACCTTTCTTTTATTCTGTCTACTTCACTCAGCATATCAACATTTTATCCATCTTTTGAGACATATACAACCACCCCTTCCTCATGAAGTGATCTCCTTTACCGTAGATCATATCAAGGGATTCTAGTATTCTTGTTGTACTGTCCATATAAACTAATTTCTTAACACTAAATTAAAGGAAAAAAAAAAAAAAAGGATACGCATATACTAAATCACTATATATGTTACAAGCTACTTGATTGCAGGGACTCTGGCTTCTATTTTTCTCTATCCCCCTTAGTGCTGGTATTTTGCCTTGTACACATTAGGCCCACTATGAGGGGTTCTTGGTTAACTGGTTGTTTAGGTGATTGCAGAGATATAATACTTGTCAAAGAAAAGTATTATGCATTTCTTTAATCAAAATGTTTTATTTCAGAAAGTATCTAGTCTTTCTGGACTGAAAAATAGAAATATCAATTCATAGAACAAACATTTGGAAGCTGAGGTTTGTGACTGAGAGGTGTAAAAATGATGAAACTTCTGAAGGGCAGAAACTCTGAAGATACATAGATTAAAGGGCTTCTATAATTATGATCCATTTAGGCCTTGGCCGGGATGTGCTGGGCCTCCTTCTAGTTACCCTTGTTCTACCTTTTTGCTGTGCTTCCTCCCTTTACTTGCCTTTAGCCTTTGCTGGCTTTTCTGCTTTTTTGCCCTTAACTTCTGCTGCCTTCTTTCCTTTAGTTTTGCCCTTTCCTTCATCACCTTTCTTGTTTTGGACATCTTTTCCTTCTTTATTTCTCCCTGCATCTTTCTTCTTTTCCTTGTCTGCCTTTCCTTTATCCTTCTTTGCTTGGGCTTCTGGTGCTTTTAGTATTGATGCGTTGCTCTTCTTTGCTTGGGCTTCTGGTGCTTTTGGTATTCCAGCATCACCCTTCTTTGCTTTTCCTGCTTGTCCTTTTGGCATTCCAGTGTCACTCTTCTTGACCTGGAATTCCTGTCCTTTTGGAATTCCAGCATCACTCTTCTTGACCTGGAATTCCTGTCCTTTTAGTATTCTGGCGTCACTCTTCTTGACCTGGGATTCCTGTCCTTCTGGAATTCCAGCATCACTCTTCTTGACCTGGAATTCCTGTCCTTCTGGAATTCCAGCATCACTCTTCTTGACCTGGAATTCCTGTCCTTCTGGAATTCCAGTATCACTCTTCT